TGTCTTTCATTGCCCAGTTGATCTTGTTGTTGTTTCCTGTCCCGAGATCAATCATGATGTGCTTGTTGCGGAAGAAGAACATCACCGTCGACGGGTCGTACAGCTCGTACATGGTGTTGAAGTCCGGAACCTCCGTGATGTCGACGAGGTAGATCACCGCAAAGTTCTTTATGGTCTCAGCCACCCCTGACAGCACCTCGTCCATCTAAACATGAACAAGCAGATAGTCAGAAACTCATAATGAAGTCAACAACATACAACAACCATGCTAGATTGATGTAGAACCAAAGGCTAATAAAAAAAGTTAAACTACAAGTTTGCAATCAATAATATAAAACAATTGCCCGTCAATAAAAGAAAAGCACACATCGCTTAACTTCCTGAGTATAATGGCTAGCTCTACTTCAACAGTTCAACTCAATCAAGCAACCAGTAGTGAACTACTCCAAATATATATGTGAAACGCAGCAAAATATAGAGGTGAGTTCTAACCTAGCTCTCAGTACACATAGAAGCTTTACTTCAACAACCAAAAATCCTCCAACTTCTACCCTACTCCAAATCGACCAACTAGCTTCTGACGGTATGAGCTTATGATAATGGAAAGGCCGAATGCAAAATCACTTGTAGGATGTGTGGATAGTACATACGGAGAATTAAAAGCATTTGCTCCCATATTAATCAGCTATGTAGCAGCCCTGCACCAGTACACCAAAACATCAGTTAAGCTATTTGTATTGACACCATCAATCATAACCAGATCATTAACAAAGCTAATATAAAGACAAATAGATCAAGGAAGCACTCCAAAGTGCAAGAGATCATCCATAAGCAGCAATAGCAACCACATACAACATAACTACAGATATCCAGATTTACTAGATTGATTTAGAACCAAAGCCTAACAAAATTAGAAGGTCAAAACTGCAACCAACAACATAAATAAAGAAGACTTCAGAGATGGATTAGTTTGAACAACCATCAAAGAAGTTGCTGAATGAAAGAAAAGCACAAATCACACGATTTCCTCAGAGTTATGTGGAGGTACATGATGTCAGTACACAATGGCTAGTTCTACTTCCAACTTAACCAAAGAAGCAGCTTGAACTACTCCTAATATGTTACAGGCAGAAAAATATAGATTGTGGGTAACTATCTATCTAGCTCATTAAAAATTAGAAGCTCTATTTCAAGAAAAACAGAGGCGTGTGACTTGCTCCACTTGTGCTACAGATCCAAACTAACCGCCTATCCTCTCAGGCAATGGAAAGGTGCCAGCAGGGTGCGTGGATACTACCTGGGGAGCAGCACAATTACCAAGTACTAAGAGCCATTTGTTTACATACTATATGAACCATCCAAGCAGCAGTGCTGCCCTGAGATTCCTAAAGACCAAGCTCAGATATTTGTATTACAACACATGTTGCAACTAGTCCTTACCAGAGCTTACTCCTGCTGTTAACATGAGGATGAACTGCTCACACAAGCTAATTAGCGAAATTGTCACACAAATCAGCATGAAGGAGAATTCCTAAGAAAAAAATCATTATTTCCTTCCGCCTCATGACCCCTAAAACTAAATCTAGCCTGGTCTATGTGCGCCATCTCTACGGCGAATCCCCGCCCAATTTCGGATACGAATCCGGTGTCCGGACACCCCAGACCGAACGGCCTCAAACAATCAAACCAAGCAGTTGGATCGAGAGAGAATCAAGAAGTTAGGGTTTCGTTGGGGGGTGGGAACCGTACCTGCATGCATGTCTCGTCCCAGTCGTGGCCGAAGCGTATCATGACCAGCCGCTCCTCCTCGGCGAGGATGGCCTGGTCCACCGCCCAGCCGGAGTGCAGGTGCGGGAGTAGGTAGGACATCTCCGCCCCTCGCCGAGAGTCGAGTCGCCGCCGCCGGAGAGAATAATGTGGAGACGAACTGCCGAGGTGAATCAGCGGCGTGCGCTGGTGCTGGTCGCCTGGGCCTGGTTAAAATAGGGCGGCCTGGCGGAGGTGCCAACTAATCCGAGTCGGCCTGCTACCCCGAGTCGGCCTTGAGGCGGTCCTATTTCAAAGGAAAGTCACTGCTGGCCTGCTAGCCGAGTCGGCCTCGAGGCGGTCCTATTTAGTTGGATCGGGAGTTGCTCAAAACAAAAAAAATTAGTTGGATCGGGAGTTTTTTCCATTTCCGAGAAAACTTCTAATTACCGCTCAAAAAAAACGAGAGAACTTCTAATTTCCTCAAAAAAAAGTTGCTAAAAATCATATGAATATCCTTGAATCAAAGGAGCAGTGAAGAAATATTTTGAGGGAGGGCTTCGATGAGATTCTTTTAGCATTTTGCACTCCCAAACACTCATATTTTTGCCTTGCCCCACCCCCACCCCACCCCACCCACCAGCAGTTTCTACCTAGCTCCGCCAGTGCAAAGGAGCCCTTAGACATGATGGTTGAGAAGTGCAGCTTGTATGCCCCTCAGTGCATCTCGGGACAATTGCACACTTAGAAGTTGCAGCACAACACAATACCGTTCGATCCGTCTGGTGCAAATCACACGCTTGGACATACTGATAATTGTAACGCCCCGGATGCAGCGACACTCGGAGAAGCGCCGAGACCATGCCAAGGCTAAGCATGCAGCAACAAATAATAAGAAAAGGAGAGCAAACTCAAGGTGCTAATTGATGAAACTTAAGAAAGTGTGTTACCTGATGAAACTGAAGAATGTGTTTTACCTTATGAAACTGGAGAAAGTGCAGGCAACACTTGTGCGGGAAAAGGTCACTGAATCCAAAGAGAAAGAACAAGATGGCGGGCCCCGCAAGTCAGGGAGACCACCATTCCATCCAAGTGATACGCCGGCGAGGAATGGATCGCATACAGACAGTGGGCCAATGTTGTAAGTGTGTGCAAGTTGTAACATACTCCCTCCGTTTCAAATTACTCGTCGCTGAAATGGATGTATCTAGAACTAAAATACATCTAGATACATCTATATGTGCGACGAGTAATTCGGAACGGAGGGAGTAGATGTCTTCGATCCATCTATTATCGGCATCCGGTTGCATCACGAAACTGAACCGAAGGACCCTGACGAGGGAGGCTCCTCCTCCTCTCTCTCTTGAATCCCTCCTCCGAGTTGTTCCTGTTCGGAATTGTTCCTAGTGATCGAGAGAATTGTTCCCTGTAATTGAGAGAACTGCTTCTGGGATCTAAACAACAATAATCTGGAAGCGGCGATGGAGGACAAGCATGTGTACACCAGAACCAGATGGAATTTTTAGTTTTAAAAAAAGGACCAGATGGAATTTTTAGTCTCCAGGTTTTGTTAGCCTGCTTGCCATTAGCACCTTGAGGTGCTACATCATTTTGTCCCGTTTTACTTGAGTGTTTGATCATTCGCCCTCGCTTATGTCAATGAAAGGTAGCCTCGAGCCCCACCGGTCACTCTCACGGGGAGGACAGATTATCAGGGGGAAATAAAACGGGCAAATGATCAAATTTTCCCGCAAATAAACTGCATCTTCTGAATGTTGGGTGATTTTAATATTGATGCTTCTCGTCTCATAGTCTTAAGCTCTTAGTTTTGTACTTCTATTCAGGCCTTGACCTTTGCTTCACTTTCATGGCACTTCTGATCTCACGGTTTCCTCAAGTCATGGTTGAGTGCATACGTCCGGTACTCCGGTCCTCTTTGAACCTACACGAGTTTGTTCTCAGAAGGCCTCACATGCCTTAAACATGTACAACATCCGTTTACAAATAAGATTGACAAGAAAAAACCAAATACTTTTGTAGCTCATCATTTATTGGCAAATATAGAGAAGTTAATTTACCAGCTACTTGTTTCATGGCTTTAATTTGAGCTCCCGTGCAAAATTGCACGCAACACCTCGGATAAAAAGCACGGCCGAGTCACATGCAGGGAAACTTGCATGTGTGGTTCTTGACACTGTAATGAGAGAATTATAGAAGTTATCAAAAACCAGGGAAGAAAAGCTAATCCTCTAGAAAGTACGGTAGTAGCATCTAAATGTGCAAATGTTGTGGCGGAGCAGGGTCGATCAAATCAAGAGAAGGGGTGTGATGATTGAGGTTTTGAATAAGACAACCTTTGCATTTTGGATTTGGATCTTTTTCGCATTTCAAAATAATGAAGAAGTCAAATAAGAGGTGTTAAGTTTTTTATCATTTTGGCATCGAGCTATTTTGCCGCTCAGGGTTTTATTTGAAATAAAAATCGAAATGCCTCAACTTGATAAATTGACAGGCTTTGACAGGGTTCTGGGTAGTGACCCAAACCGATACCAATAGGGATGAGGGAAGGCTTACTTATTGATTTCACAATTTCCCTAAAAATAATAAATTCACAATTGATTATATTCCCCAATTCATAACTAGGAAAGTAAGAGGTTAGAAATCTTGGTATCCAAAGGTCCCTAAAGGACATTCATTTTTTGCTCATGTTGGATATTACATCATGGACTACCTACAGACTGAAATGAGGAACAAACACAGTAAAACGTGTGTATATGCATCCAATTCAGAAAAAAAAAAAGTTGCACTAGAACATATTACATTTGCACCCGCAAAAAAAAAGAACATATTATATTTGTGAATAGAGTGAGTACTCAGTTTGCAATGAGCTGGCACACACCAGTAATGGCAACTCTAAAGGAACTCCAACAGACATGCCAAAACACGCTGTGCTTCAGAAACAATCAGGACACCGCTATATATAGCACTATAAATCATAGACAAAGCAGCAGATACAACAACTGACGGATTTCCTTACAGGCACACAACTATCTGCCTAAGCAAGTGATACAAACAAAAATATTCGGCAGGCGCCAGAGTGCCTAGAGAAATTGAATATCAGGTGTAAGCAATCAGAAAACTGACAAGCGTCAAACTTTGAAGGATCAACATTGCCCTACGTTCTGGAGGCCTCAGTACTAACTCTTCCTGTGTAAAACTCTGGCACGGAATAGAATGGACTGGCGAGAATCAGACTAGGATGCAGCAGATATAAGCTGGGCCTTTTTCTGTCTGACAAAATTTTGGACAAATATCTCCCCTGCGCGGTAAGAGGACCGGACCTGAAAAAGTCCAAGAATACAAAAGTGAGTTCCTGTAGTTTGCTAACAGCAGCAACCACAAAACTGCATAACCACCAATAACTAACAAGACAAGTGCTAGCTTTTTCTTTTGTGTGGTTTCACAAGCTGGATAGCAAAGAGGCATGTTTTATCGAGGATGCAAAACAACAACAGTTTCCCTGTCTGGGTGAGTGGGCATTGGTAAAAGTTTTGTCTTCTTTGTATAAACACTGGCATTCCTTGTCTCGACTATTATTATCTAAAAGCATAACCAGCTATATGTAATGCTTACCAGAGGTCCACTAGCAACATACACAAATCCCAAAGATTCTCCATACTCCTTCCAGAAATCAAACTTCTCAGGAGTCACATATTCTCTGACTCTCAAATGTCTTTCTGTTGGCTGTATAATCAAGGAGATATGGTTGTTACAGCATTTACAAAGGCAGCTGGGTAATATAAACTGAAAGGTGCACTGTAAGTCGATAAATATTCTCCTCAAATAACAGGGCTAAACATCAAACCTGTAAGTATTGTCCCAAGGTCAGAATGTCAACGTCGATGGCCCTCAAGTCAGCCATGGTTTGTTTTATCTCCTCGTCTGTCTCACCCAGACCAAGCATGATCGAGGACTTCGTTACCATACCCTTTTTGCAAGCCTTTGCTTGCTTCAGAACCCCTAAGCTCTGATCATATCTGTAGAGATAACAGATTGGAAATAAGGTAGCAGTTGCATCGCCAGATGCAAATATGACATCAGTGATTTCCCTTCTGTAACTGCTTCTAAAATTATCAGTGAAGATGCAGGTTTTGAAATTACAAATGTCATGTTACCAAATCATTAGAGTACTGTAAATGAGTGTGACGAACTCAGAGGAGGGCATTGATGATATAGCGCTTTAGAGGACTCTCCTAGTTAGTATGCACAATGGTGGGAGCACAATAGACTGAGCAACATACAAAAGAAGTCAGGGAATCTTATTACCCTGCTCGGGGATCTCTAACTATTCTCTGCATACTCCTCACAGTTTCGATGTTGTGCGCATACACATCTAGGCCAGAGTTTGCCAGAGACGCAACTGCCTCCAGGTCGCCTCGAAAATCTGAAGTTAGACACTCCACCAGTATCGTAGGCTTCAACTCCTGAACAGAAGACCCAAAACTATCACATGGTAGATTCACTAACTTAATCAGCAAGCTAAGGCGACAGGGACAAACCTTGAGAGCCCTGACTGTTTCGGCGAAATGGCCACTTCCACCATCAGGGATGTCATCTCTGTCGACACTTGTCAGCACAACATAGTCCACTCTGCAAAGAAACACCGTTTATCAGATATATTCATCACACCATCTTAAGTTCTTAGCATGCCGATGATTGTCAGTGATCGTACCCCCAACTCGCAATTGCGATGGACGTTTTCAGAGGCTCGAGGGCGTCGGGCGGTGGGGGCTTGTTACTGGTCTTGACGGCGCAGAACCGACAGCCCCGGGTGCAGGTGTCGCCGAGGAGCATGATGGTGGCGGTGGCGATGCCGTCCCCTTCCCCGCCGGCGCCGCCGCCTCCGTTCCAGCACTGCAGCAGCAGCAGGCAAATCATCATCAAATCGCTGAAGACACTCACCCGGGCCACGAACACAGCGGCTCCGTGGCAAGAGGATCGATGGGCTCTACCTACCTCCCCGATGTTGGGGCACTGGGCCTCGACGCAGACGGTGTTGAGCTTGAGCTCGCCGAGCGACTCCCTGAGCCGGGCGTACTTGTCCCCCTGCGCCGCCCGCTGCCGCAGCCACGCCGGCTTCCTCGCGTCCGGGTCCCTCCCCGTGAACGGCGTCGGCGGGGCCCATCCAGATGCCAACGACGACGACGCGGGCTCGCCGTGGCACCTCACCGCCGGCGCCGGCCGGGGCCGGGCGAGGAGCCTCGCGCCCGCGGAGCCCCGCGCCGAGGGGGGCGGAAGCGGGGGCGGAGGCCGGGCGAGCGAGCTCTGCATTGTGGCGCGCGGAGGGATCGAGGCGGGTTGAATTGAACCCTAGGGCGCCATCGCTGCCGCTGTGTAGCGCGGCGCGGGGGCGATGGTTCCGAAGCGGGGGGCGAGAGAGCTTCTGGCAGTTACGGATTTGCCCCTGAGATCTGGTGGACTGCACGGGGCGATGGCGATGGGGAGGGTAGGATGGGTATTTCGCGGGAAGACGGCGGTCGCACCAAAGCCAGCCTCGCCGTGTTTTTAACTGATGAACACAGGCTGAGACGCTGAGTACTGGTTGGTAAGCAGTTTTTGACCTTGAGTGGTGGTTGGTGCGATGGTGCCAACGCCTTGCCGCGTTGGACGAACGGCGCGGCGGGTAGGGAGAAGGCGACGGCGGCTCTGCGCCGAGCTCCCAGGGAGCTCGCCGGCCGGACTGGAGGAAGACGGTTTCAGTGACGGTGAGAAAATCCGACTGCAGTTCCTGTGAGTAGTAGTCTGCTGTTGCTGTCAAAGTTCATGCGATCTTCAGTCATTTGCTCTGCTTGCACATGATAACAGCGTGCCAAATTCACCTGTATGTACAAATTTCCAGGAACAAAAGCCCGATTTTGTAGAGCGAAGTGAATGAGCATAACGCTAAATGAAAAAATGATGCAACAACACGAAATGAGAGAAGACGCAAATCATAACCAAGCTTACAAATAAGAGACCTCACACACATCTCATATCTCACCAATGCATATGGATAGACCAAACTGAGCTTCAACACTGCCACCACTCACACAAAGATCCCCCACACGTCCACCACCAAGAAGCAACCACAAGATAGTTTATAGAAACTCTACTTGCACAGCCATTGCCACCCCCCACCACCTTGTTTTTCACCGGGAGAAAATAAGGGTTAAAACTAGGTTCCATCTGGTCCATCACTGCACAGTTACAACACAGGGTACATACATGGACAATCTGTCATGGATATAGCCATCAGGCGGGTATTATACACCCACATGAAGGAGAATGCTGGTTCTATTAAATTAACCTCCACCCTAGTCACAGCCTCAGGAACGCTAACTTCGACACGGAGCCAACGGAACTTCTCCAAGCTCACACATCTTGCGAAACAGGAAGCATGTCTATCCCAATTCTGCAATCACCATCTGAAAGACAAGCAGCACATATAGTTTTAACCGGGAACAGGTTCGGAAGTAGTAGAATGCCCGCCGCTAGCGCCCGAGTGGTTGTAGCCGATCACAGGCATGGATTTCCGAGCAAAGTCAAGAAGCATCTGGCGTTGTTCTTCGCTGGTGTGCGGAAGGCTTGCACGCAGTAGCTCGACGGGCATCTCCCTGCTGACGGCCTTCGAGGCTTCAGGTCCAGCCATTGAGTTGGATCCCTGCATGCTGAACCTCTGCAGAATGCTCCCATACTTGCTGTCGCAGTATTTTGTCAGAAGCCCAAAGAAGGCATCGAACGACGCCTGCCAAAGCGAACGGGTTGACCTGCTGTAGTTGGCTGCAGAATGGGGATCGGCCAGTAGCTCAGTTGCTCTGTCCAGTACTGATTTGATGATTAGAGCAGCACCATCACCAGCAGAGCTGCCAAGAGGGCGGAGAGGTGGCTGCTGCGACGAGCAGACAACAGCTGCGAGGCAGGCGCTGAGGGCACTGAGCTCCATGTGATGCACGCAGGAGGACACGGTCTTGGCAAGACTAACTGTTGTTTCTGCAGCACCAGAATCTGATGGCAAACCCCCAAACAAGCTCCTAAGATGCCGAAAGATAGCCATGCAAACTATGCGGGTTAGCTCACTTCCAGGGGCAAGAAGTCGGAGATACCGTGCCAAGAGCTTGCGTCCTTTAGGGAGAGAAACAATGCGGAGAAAAATAAGGTCATCCGTCGGGGCCAATCCAGATGAATTGCCAGGTTTGTTGGGGCCAAAAGGGTCGACAAGCTCAAGTGATGTAGCTAAGCCTTCAAGGAGGACCTGTCGCCTTCGCCTCAGTTGGAAGCTGCTGTCCTGTGCCTGGCTAGACTGTAACACACGGTCAATGTCATTTACATCTAGAAGAAGACATATACCATCCTCAACGGTAATTCTGGCTGCCAGCATTGGCTCTTTCTCCAGTGGCCTCGTACATGACTTGTGACCATCACCAGATGCAGGAATATCAACTTCAAGAAGAGGGCGAGGCCTACGTATGGAAGAGAATGACACTCTTCCAAGAGAATCAACCTTCAGGTATGAATGCTGATCACCACCAGACCTAGACTTTGAGTGGGAGTCTTTTATTGACATGGGGGAGAAATTCACCTTCTTCTGAGAATTGACGGATCTTTTGGCTATACAAGCTTGGTGGTAGTAGTCATCGACGTAAGGATCACTGCTGTGACTGCCAGAGTGCTGCATTCTTAAAATAGTATCAATCTCTTCAGATGACATATACTTTGATCTGAATTTTGTTCCTCCAGTGTCAACATTCTGGCTAGCTGTATCAGATTGTTGTTGAGAAAAGCGTATACTGTGTTTTCCTCTTCCTGACCTTGATCTCTTGTCCCTTGGTGAAGGCACACTAGGAATATGATCAAACCTGCCTATTATCTCCGGGGAATGATGGTGATACAAGTGAGGCTGCATGTTTAGGTAATTGTGATGATGAAGCGGTTGAACTAGTGACAACCTCTGCTGCTGCTGTTGCTGCTGAGAAAATAGCAACGAAGACATTGAACTGCCCGGAAAAGATAGTTGTTGCTGCAATAAACTGGGCTGTAGATTAAGATGCTCAAAAGCATGCGAACCAGCTTGATTTGGCCATTCGTTTTGCAGCAAGTTGTTCGCGTATAGATCTGCAGAAGTGTAAGACATGCTTCGCCCCAACCGCAGTCCATGAGGTAGACCAGTCATGTTATATGGAGAACCAGTAAGTGACGAACTTGGAGAACCCATTTGGTAACCAGCACCAGGTGATGGAATGCTCGAGTGCCGCGTAAGACCTTGTGCAGGATAAGATAATCCACCACCACCTGGTGGAGGATAGGATGTAAATGAAGGAGATCTATGTCCCAGAATAGGTTCACTGGAGCGGTGTTGTAGTGGCTCCAGGGGATAGGATGATGTTCGGCTCAATGGTTTTGACTCTCCGAACTGAGGCAAATACTGTGGCTGAGGACACAATTGTTTGCTGTCTTGAAATTCGTCGCTGTCCAGTATATCATGATCCACCCAATTCGAGAACTCTGCTTCCTGGGCCCAGTCGGTAGTCAAAGAACCTAAAGAAACATGATATTTAGCTCGGGAATACAGACATGAAAATCTGGACATGTATATGGACAATATTTAGGGTTTGATTATCATCTTCCATATTAAACATGTCTAAATAAGGTGGCCAGCACAATGTTAAGTATATCTATGTTTAGACTACATGTAACATGAAGAAACTTTTCCAGTATCAAGCTTCAGTAGTAACTGGGGGCAGAAATGCAACTTACTTTCCCTGGAAATTGATCGTCTATCACCAATAACACCAGGATTCCTTGCTCCACTTATACTTCGGTTCAACTGAAGACAAGACATTTTTTTTCAGTATCAGTAGGCACTCCATGATAAATAAAAAGGGGAAAACATTAGGTGGCCCATGAATCCAGGGCCTATACTCAGTTTTAACTCACAAGGCTCAAAGATCTTGACAATGTACTATACCTATTCCATTTATTTTTAACATATTAGTACATTTCAACTTTGGTATTTAGATATGTAAGAATGCAATCCGGAGATTCATGCCATATTTTGAACTTGTGTGACCGATTAAATCTGGGCATATGGTGTGTTTTATCCACTTATATATGAATGGCTAAAACTGGAACCTGTGCGACCGATTCAATCTGGGCATATGGTGTGTTTTATCCACTTATATATGAATGGCTAAAACTGGAACTTGTGTGACCGATTAAAAAAAAGTGTTTTATCCACTTATCCTTAGCATATAATAACTCAGAGTACTCCAAAGTCATTTTCAGGATTGCATAATTTGACACAATAGATCATCTTTTTCACAATATATTAGTTGACCATATATTATGCTCAACGTCTAATAATACTTTACACAGGGAGTATTTTAGAAAGACTCATGAAATAGTGCAGGAAAAGAACTGCATTGAGCATGAAGTAATAAGCCTTCAAGAGCATAAAGGGTCATCCTGGACATACTAAATCGTTTGAAACTACAGATAATTCAATATATCATAACCATAGGTATGAAATTTAAGACCACCAACTGAAGTAATCAAGTTAGATATAGGCTGCTAACCTTTGCGAACGTGCTTGCAAGATCATCAATTTCAGACAAGTTACTCATGCAATCAATCTGCAAAAACATAAGAACAAGACAAATTTTCATCATGAAAAATAGAGGGAACATGACTACAGGAGTCAAAAGAAAGCAAGGCTGAAAGAAGAGTGACCAAAGTTACAAAGTAGGTAGGAAAAAACTTGCAGAATAAGGAAATCTAGAAATGATTTATGAAACAAATTGGCAACGTTAAACATGAAAGTGGTGGAAATTGAGCTACTTCAGAATGTAATGTCAAAGGTTTGGTAGGTCTATATCATTATACTTGTTACGAAAGTCTATATTGGGCGATCAACTACAAAGAAAGAAAATAAAGCATGTTGATCTCCAGACAAGCCTAGTAGCTACAGATTCTTCATTCCAGTATAATAGCTACAGCCTGTAGGCCTACACACTTACAGGCACTGACTAGAAGTAAAAACAGTTAGGCAGAATGCGCTCGCATTTGCACCATGAAATACTGCAAGGTATCACCTAAAGTTCCATACCAAGTAGCAATCACTTTAAGTTGCACCTGGTTACAAGATCTGCTCAATAAATGGATGTGGGTACTCAAAAAAGTCCAGATGGCAAAAACACCGATGGTGTTTGTGTATGTGGTGGGACATAGTGCAGAAGAAAGGAAAGCTTGTACCAACACCCCTCAAAGGTCAACATTCCAGAGAAAAATAACTTATT